TGCCGGAATGAGGGAACCGTATGGAACCGTATGATCCTAACCAATGTCGCTCTAATCAAATTTAACATCCCTCATAAAATTTAAAGAACTACAGCCATAAAGTCACTTGATTTGACATCATAACTTGACACCCTAGAAAACTCAAACTCGTCACGACAAGGAGCTTGGAGCTAGCATGGTGGGCAACACGACTATCTTCAACAACAGAACATGTCTACACCAACTAAACCATTCCTTCCTTAGAATTAAATAATAAGCCATAGGATTTCGAGGTTGTTTGTCTAAGTGCAACATAAATTCTCAACTCATCTTTAGACCTTTATACAGCTTTGTTGTATAATGTCTGCCCTAACTCGCTTAGGATTCCGAGGTTGTCATCGTCGCGACCTAAACCCTCACATCTTTCAGGCCATTTGTTTGATTGTTTCACATGAATGTAATCCCTAACAAATGAAATTGACAGGATGAAACACTTAAATAATTTCTCCTCAAAACTAAAGCCAAACAATAGGATAGACTAGGAAGTCACCGATGTTCACCTCTGGATCCATGACATCCCCTAGTTCTTCCTCATTTGGATTTCAAAAACAAAAATGCTCCAAAATTGAGTAAATCCTATTTCACACCTCTATGTCTAATCTTGTTGAACAGTACTATCCTTTTGAAGTCCTTGAAGATAATATTTTCTGATTTTTATTGAAAGTTTTCTTAGGTGGCTTTGATCATTTAAGATGTGATTAACTATAGGGGCTTGCCCTTATAGAAAATTTTTCCGAACCCACCTTAATATAAACCCTATTTAATTCTTCATATTGAATAGGGGAAATTGTCGGCAAATAAAACAGTTTCGCAGACTAAACGGACGTCATATGTTTCTTAGTTTAATTGATCGAGCCTCACCCTCAAGTATTGTGTTTATTATTCGGGATAGATACAGGGTTTTAGGTACAACGTTATTTCATTTAAACTATGAAAAATATGGAGTCAGTATATGGAGAGTCAGTTTAATTTCATATTTTTCTAAACATTAAAATGTCCTTCCGAAGTGGGCGACGGGATTTCGATTCCGGTGACCGACAACTTTTTACGGGCAACTCCCCAAACCAAAATAATGCCAACAATGTATATTTAATTAAAAGCTCTTTAATCATAATCTGATCTTTTTTATATCTGGCTATGTATATGCACATCTATAATTGATTTACTATGATACCCTAAACTAGGATAGTAAGCATCAATCTCAATGAAGTTCAATCATTTTCATCTTATTAGTAACTCAGTGGACCCATCAATTTGACTTGCCAACATTTAAAATAACTTGATACTAATATATATACATGCACATTTCACATTACATGCTAGTAATTACCATGGGTATTGTTACCAATAAAAAGTTGTATGTATATATCAATTATGATTGTTGCATTAAAAAATCTATAATAATTAATTTGTAATGTGCATAAATAGTAAGCACACAACAAAAAATTTTTAGTATGAAAAATTGCAATAATAAATCAAGATAAATTTAACTATCATATCATGTCAATATGATCATGTGAAGTACATTAAATAAATAAGCATATTCCACCATCAATTTATTAAGAATAACATAACTTCGAGAAGTACCAAGAAATACACTCCTAATAAAGAGTGTCATATTTATATCTTAATCATTCAAAAGTCAACTATCTAATTGAGATCACAAATGGTCCAATAATATGATCATACATAGTTCTTACTCAACATGTGTTGCTTTACAATTCTCTCTCTCTCTCTCTCTCTCTCTCTCTCTCTCTCTCTATATATATATATATATATAGATACTTATTTATTAAAAATAATTTCTATAATTAATGCTATGATAAACTCCTAGAATTCTAAATATGCTTTGATCTAATTATGAATATTATTATATATTTAATATAATTTAAAAAATTGGGTTATATTATATTGTCCTAAAATGAAAATGAGAGCTCAACTACTAAGTTTTTAAGCCCTTTCAATTTTTGAGATATATTCTATATATCTTATACAATTAATATCCACTAGAGATTAATTTAAATTCAATTTTTTTTTTTTTCAAAGATCCCTCAAAGAGTCACATGTTCATTCATTTACATAAATCTATAATCACATAAATTCATACTTAAATATAGGATAAATCTAAGTGCTAGGATTACCCACTCCCACTCTGATTATACTAAGATAAAAGTGATGATGATGTATCTCAAATACTCTTGGCAAGCCATCAAAGCCATCAAAGCCACCAAAGGTATTCATTACACAACTGGTGGTGGTTCTCCATGCTCGCAGTCCAAGCTTTGGTCGACCCACAAAGGACACAAAGATAAAGCTAATCCATGCATGTGGTTGTCACTCAATTAGATGGAATAATTAATAAAAAGTTGTAAAAAAAATATCCTTATTTTCCTTTTTATTCTTTCTCATCATCCAATGTTTTTTTAACATATTTAAAACATAATTTTTACTTTTTTTATATCATTATTTTAACTATAAAAATATTAAATACACATCTTTCATGCAAACATTAAGTAACCTATATGTAAAAATTAAAATTTAAATATTAGATATATAAATACATAATAATCAAGTGATATGTAAGTAAATCTTAAAAAAAAAAAAATTTCTTCACACATCTCACAATTATAATAATGAATGATAATACTAAAAAAAACTGTCGAGCCACATAAATTTGTGAATCAGATGATAGACGAATGATTAGACATTTTCTCCCACATTGAAAATACTAATGCTCAAAATTTTTTGAAGACTCAAAAAAAAATGAAAAGATAGAAAATTAGAAAAGTGAGGGCCGATATATAAAATTATATTTTGAAATACGAAATTCTTATTTTATATTAACAAATTAATTTATTTTAAAATTTCTCCTCGTAAAAACATCACATCACTAAACTTCCCAAATTTTCCTAAAATCATCCCCAATCACACGAAAAAAATTTACGTACATAGGACGTACGCAGAGCTGCGTACGTCTGTAACCTACAAATAGGTTACAAGGACGATATTGAGAGGTTATAAACGAAGCAATTTTTTTCCCAATCACACATCTGACCCCCTCCCAATACCACTAATAGCAGAAACCACCTTCCCCATCTCCATCCCCCGACTCCCCTTCACCAAAACAACATCACCCAAACCCAACAACCCTCCAACCCTACCCACAACAGATTCCGCATCCGAACTCCAAACGACACCACTCCTCTCCAACACTTCCAATTTTCTCCCGGCAGCCATGAATCTCTCTCCAACAAGCACAACAATCCCAATGGCATCATCGCAGCAGAGCCGGAGCACCAGTTCATGCGCAGCAGCTTCACTCGCGCCCAGCTCCAACATGTCGCCGAGCACGCAGACTCGTTTGCCGGCACAGTCGAAGCTCTTGAGAGATTCGATGGCGGCGGCCATGCTCGGAGGGCTGGCATTGTAGGCATCGTTGATGACGATGATGCCGCTCCTCGTGGTGACGATTTGGGAGCGCATGGGTGGTGGACGGAACCTCGAGAGGGATTCGGCGATTTGCGGGAGAGGTACGCCTAATGCGACGGCGACGGCTGTGGCGGCGCAGGCATTCATGGCTTGGTGAAGACCAGGACCATGGATCATGAATTCTACCCTGAATGAGATAAGAGATTGTAAGGCAATCCGTCCTACTTTTATATGCGTACTGAAAAGTTTTGAAAAGAACGAAGAACAGAAGCATCTTACATTTCTGATGTCCTCTTGCCTGCAGATTTAAATCGGTTGATGGATGCAGGAATTCTGCTTTCGATTACGACACGAACGGCACGGCCGCCATTAATGTTCTCAGCAGACACCAACCTAACATCGCATCCAATTCCTCGTCCAAAAAGTACCTAATAATTGAAGGCATTATAGGACGGCAAGATGAATTAGCACATGCGACTCAATATATGCGCATACCATCTGAGCCGTTAGGGTTTTTGGAGGATAGTGGAGAGTTGGTAGTGCATAAGAGAAGAAGATTTCTTGGGTTTTGGTGGCCTCAATATTCTGAAATTCTAGGGTTTCTTATTCTTCGTTGTGTGTGGATATGTTAGGGATTTAGGAGAAGGGGTTTGGTGAGAGCTCTTCATTTGTAAATGAAGGTTGTGGTGGGTTGAATCCTCCCTCGTTTAGTCCTCTCTCTCTCTCTCTCTCTCTCTCTCTCTCTCTCTCTCTCTCTCTTCTAGTAGACTAAAATTTAGTTGAAGGCGAACCATGCAAATCCTAGCATCTTAGGGGGAGGGTGTTTGGTCCTATACTTGTAATAGGATTTAGCATGAATTTAACATAAATCTAGCCAAACATAAAAACAAAAATGAAAATTAAATCCAACGCTTCATTAAATTGATTTTTCCCATATTCCTTCTCTTTTTTAACGCCTCGTTTCATCTCCTCGAAAAAAGGGGGGTGGGGACCTCGAAGGGGTGAATTCGTTCTATAAATTGGCGTGTATGAAGAGAGGCTGGGAGGAGATTGAGAGGCTTCATAGCAGACGCCGAGCCTTAGTGTGAATGACTTACCTAGGGGGTCGATCGACGCGTACAAAGGCAGGAAGATCGACGAGCACAAACTAGGGTTTTCCTGAGCATCAATCAAAGCCAAAGAAGACGACGTCGACGAGCGACGATGCTTGTGACTGTCGAACAGAGGAGATGAAGCATTTCGGCTCGACGAGGGCGATGAAGTTTGCAATTGAAGCCGAAGGAAGAGTCGTCGAGCAAGTGAGGGCGACGTTATGGAAATGTTTATAGAAGACACAAATAACATGACTTGAGGTAAATTTATAACTACTTTGGTTTAATTTTATTTTCTATAGTGACTCTTTCGTTTGTTAAATATTAATTATAAAAAATGAATATAGAATATTTCATTCTCACCGTCTGACCGTCTGCATCAATCTTGATTAATTCTAAGTCTCAAATCGGGTCGTGACATCTTTTATGATGTAAATCCTGATTTATTAAATCCGATAATGAGGTGAATTTAATGATTTACTTCATCGTACCGCGAGTAGCATCTCTATGGCCATCTCCGTCAATATAAATTCATATTTATCAAATTTACTAAATCCTATTCAACGTAAATATGTGTTTCAGCAAGACACACCCTTAGTGTTCGTCTTTTTTCTCCTTTTCATTTGTGTTTACTTCAGACACAATGACACCAATCCTTGTGACACTTTAACATCAGATACTTTTGGCACTTCGTTCCAACAACATATATTATTTTGGTTACGCTAAAAGAGTGCCAAGAAGTTATAAAGTGAAAGCTAAACAAAATATAACTATTGAGGCTGGTTGGATAAGATAAGAAATAAGATTATCATTCGATGAACGCTTGAAAAATGCATCTCTAAAAGAGTGCAACAACATCTAGACCCATACCACTTCAAAATAAAACTGACCCAATCTCTTAAGGCAATCATAATGCATACTATGTGTTCTAGATTCAATACTTATGAAAATGCCATGAGCTAAACAAAAACAACAATGCAATGAAGATTTACCTTCCTCACCCCACATGGAACAGGAATACTCATAACTAAAGGATCATCACCATTCAGCACACATACGTCCCCTGCCTTTACTTCCTCCAAAATCTCCCCTTTTGCCTTTGCAACATTCTCCAAACTATGCAGATACTCCAAATGACATGGACCAACATTCAAAATCACTCTCACCGACGGACAACAAATTCTTGCCTCTCTCAAAATCTCTCCCATCCTACTCATCCCAAGCTCAACAACTGCAGCTTTTGCATCCAATGGAATACCAATTAGTGTCAAGGCAACTCCTATCATGGCATTCAAGTTCCCACTGGTCTGGTAGATGCGACCGAGGCTCCCAAGCGCAAGCGTGATCATGGTTCTCGTCGTCGTCTTCCCAACACTTCCTGTCAAACCCACCACTATGCCTCCAAACCTATTCCTGGCAAACTTCGCCATTTTCTCAAGAGCTGCATCGGTATCACCATTAATCTTAACGAAACCATTTGCCCAACCTCTGCATACCCTATTTCCAATAACTCCAACACAACCCTTTTCAGTAGCCAATGTCTCATTTACAAAATCATGGCCATCGTAATTCTGTCCAGAAATGGCGAAAAACCATTGACCCGGCAACAACCTCCTGGTATCGATTGAAATACTCCCAGAGGGACCCCATCTAACAATCTCTCCATTAACAGCTTCAGCGATCTCAAATGTACTCCACGAGTATTCATCAGGAAAAACTCTAGTTCCGAATGATTCATAAACCAAACCTGGATTAGGGCTTGGCGTGGCTTCCACATTTGAAGTCTCAGAGATCACGGTATCCCTTGAATATGAATGAGCGATGAAGGACCTAATGCTGCGGGAATCAGAAAATTGATGATAGCTGCAGAGAAGCGGCATCAAACTCGTTTGTGTATGTGCTGCGTGCCTCAGTTTCTCTGATGTATCGAACCTTTTCCTCGGTTTTGAGTGCGAGGCGTGTCTACTAGAGTGGCGCAATCCTCTGCTTTGTAAAACCCTAGATCCATATGTCCAAGAAAAGCTGTCCATTGTCTCTAAATCAAGTGAAATTAGGGTTCAGATCAGATTTGACTGAGCTTCCGGTAGCTGATCAATAAGAAGAAAACCATGGCCAATTTTATTTGATTCCTCTGTCTGATCACAGCAAACACCGATCAGAATTGGATTCCTTAAAAGAACAGGATTGGTGAATACCTGGAATGCAACAAATAGCCTGGAGCTACTTGGATTGGGGATCTCTACCCAGTGAAACAGGAGAAGAAGGCGAATCATGTTTTAATCGTTCGGCTCGAAGAAGGATTTTTATATACGTAGAAAATATTTCATCGGGATACGGTATGTCCGGTAGTCATATACTTTCCGGCCAGTGGTTTAAAGTCTCGGCATGTTGAGGGAATAGATTTCTCGTACTATAAAAAATATTACATAAGATTACGCACGTAGAATAACGTATGTAGTCAATGAAATCACGTCACCCCGCGCGACAGAAAAAAATAACGCAGTAACACGGGGAATATTCCCCCCGTGTTATTCATGTGTTATTGTGTGTTATTCATGTGTTATTGTGTCATGAGAATATTCTTGGTGTTATAATAATATAATAACACATGAATAACACATGAATAACACGGGGGAGAATATTCTCCCGTGTTACAGCGCCGTTTTTTTCTTTGTCGGGAATATTCCCCGTGTTACTCAGGTATTATTGTGTGTTATTCATGTGTTATTGTGTCCTGAAAATATTCTGGTGTTATAATAACACATAATAACACGCAATAACACATGAATAACACGGGAGATTATTCTCCGTGTTATTGTGCCGTTTTTTTTCCCTGTCGCGCGGGGTGTTGTGACATGATTTCATTGGCTACGCACATTACTTCTACGTGTGTAGTACTGATGTAATATTTTTTCCTCATACTAAGGAGTTATGTGCAACAAGATAAAATTTTATTTTTTATTTTTTGTTTTCATTTTATTTTGTGTTTTATATTTCTAAAAGAAAAGTTTACTTAGAAAGCATCTAATTCTTATGCATTTAGGTATTTCACACCTTACCTTTGATTTTTTTCTTATGTTTGAAAAGATCTATAAAGGGTGGATTACATTTTTTTCTATAGGTAGGGTGGGTGTGAGATAAGTAAATGCATAAGAATTAGGTGCTTCTGATGTAAAAACACTTCTAAAAAATGCATTTGGTACAATTTTGATTTTTTTATTCTTAAAAATAAAAAATATATAAAAGATGTTTGGCTGAATATTTTCTATATTTTTAAAGAGAAATTAATAATAAAAAAATATTACCATTTCTAACAATATAAATATGTCTTATGTATATATATAGAAATTGTAATTATGTTCAGTAATAATATCAAACTCGACACAATCAAGGGTGTTGCCTTTTAACAAAGCATAAAATCATGAGGTTTTCACACTGAAATAACAATTTATATGTCTAATGTTAACCTTCTAACCCAAATTAAATCACCTGAACTATTTATTACTACTCATTGCATCCATTGCTCGTTTCATGTTTGCTTCATGCTTTGAGCTTTCAAGAACTCATAATCCAATAAATGCGGTGTTTTTTTTTCCTCCCCTTAAATTCAATCTCAAAACAACTAATCTATGTATAACCAGTAGACGATGAGATGTGAAACTGTAAACCTGCACACTATAGCTTTAACAACATTTTTAGAGTTAGAGTGTTGAATCCAAATTTAACCTTTGGATCATACCTATGGGGTAGAATGTGAAACCCAAGAGATGGAGAGAGATAGATGGAGAGAGAGAGAGAGAGAGAGAGAGACTAAAGAAAAGTGAAATATTGCCCCGTCGAGGCGAATGGGGTGTTCCTGGTTTTGTGGACCCATTTTATTCCATAAAAAAATACAAGTTACAATTAGGAATCTAAAAGAGCACTCTTTACATGAAAGAGACATCCTATTTATAGATGATAAGATAATCAAAGTAAATTTTAAAATTACTCTTCTTTAAAAGGGGTTAATACATGATATTTTAGTTATTTGTCTTGGTGCATACTGCTCAGTACCTCGTCAATGACCTCTAGATTTGTCATTATGGAATTTTTCGAAGGAAAAGTCGTACATTGGAGGAAATGTCGACCAATCAAAGGAAAACGCAGTTGTTGGAAGAAAAGGCGGTCGATCAAAGAAAAAGTTGCTCGTTTGAAGAAAAACGGCTGATCGGAAAATAAGCAGTTGTTGGAGGAAAAGTCATTTGATCTGAGAAAGATGTTGGCCGGACAAGATAGCCGGGCGAGGTTAGTCGAACGATCATAGCAGATTGCAGGTGCGATTCTAACGATGGCAGTCTGATGAGTATGGTGATATTTTTGGGCTATGCATGAGGCTCCAAAGTTTTTCACTTCTTGGAGGTGAAACTGCAATAAGAATGAAAAACTTATAAGTACAGAAAAATATTCTTTCCTTAGTACCAAGTTTTACTTAGCTTTTTAACATCACTTTTGATGGCCTTTGATGAGTAGATTTTTCGAGAAGATGATTTGATAAGTTTTAATTTTTTTTGGATATGATGTTTGCTCAACTCAAGTTCCACTCGTCTATGTCAGGTGGTCAGTCATCTCAAGGGCTGAAGACAATCGTCGTATACCCCTCGTGGAGCTTGTCACCGCCATATACCACATATGGAGCTTATCTATCAGGTGGCGATCATCTAAAGGGCCGAAGATGATCGACGTAAACTCCTCGCAGAGCTTATCATTGTCAAGTGGTGAATTGTCGTAAGGGTCGAAGATGATCGCTCTACTCCCCTCTCCGAGCTTATCGCTGTAGAGTGATGAATCATCGCAAAGGTTGAAAATGATCACCGTATACCTCTCGCGGAGTTTGTCGCTATCGGGTGGCAAATTGTTGCAAGGGTTGAAGATGATTGTTGTACACTCATCATGGAGTTGTCAAGTGATCAATCTTCTCTGAGGCATAAGAGGAATGATTGCCACAGCACCGCTATGGGGCAGGGAATCATCTCTGATTATTTTTTTTATTCTTAGTTGGAGGGCTTTGATTCATAGAAGGCGAAAGTCCCCCGGTTAGTCCGAAGGGGAATTTTTTCTTCTAATTGAACGGTATCGTCATTGTCGGGTTATTATTTTTTACGTCTCTAGTTGATTAGGCGCTCTTGGGGGTCGCTGTCTTTTTTACTACTGAGTTTGAGTTTCCCGAGTGTCGAGTGGTCACGAAATGCTTAAGCTCCTATGGTCCCTATCTCACACAATATAAGTTAGGTCGTTAAGAAGAGAGTATGAGCTGCATGTAGTACCAAGATGAGTTGCAGAGAACAGAGGATAACTAAGAGTGAAGAGAAGATGCACAAGGCAGAACCTTGGGTTCAAAATCACCCCATATATATCTGATGCTAAAATATTTAATGTTGTTAAAAATTTAAGTTTGGGGGGATGAAAAATATTTTCAAAACTTGAACTTTATTTGTTCTCAAATGTGCTACAAGTGAATTTGATTTGAAAAGAAAAATGATAATGTATATGAAGGTATATTAGGGAAGTAAACTTTGATTTTAGAAATGAGTAAGAGAATTTAGTTAAAATTTTAAGTAATGAAGAAAAACTTTCAGTTAAAAGTTTTTAGTGTAGAAAATGCTAAATATAGTGTAACTATTTTTAGTAAGAAAAATTATATTTTTGAAAAATTTAAAAATTTAGACTTTTATTTTTAATACTTAAATTTTTTTTATTAAAAATAATTTTCAAAGCTATTATTAATTGATAAGTAAAAGATTTATATCAGGACTTTGCTTTAAGAAAGGAGAAATGAAGTTCAAAACCAGTAAATGCCTATCCAGATATAGTAATCATTGCCTGAAAAAGAAAAGAAAAATAAAAAAAATAAAAAGAAAAAGAGAAGAAAGAAAAAAAGTGTAAGGGAGGAGAAGCTTGACGATTAGTGCATAATCAAAAATTGGTTTCACATTTGATCTTTTTAAAATATAAGACTTGAGAAACTCTTAAGCTTGTGGATATAATATAGTAAGTAAAACTATTCTTAATAAAAATTTTTAAGTGAAGATAATAAAAGGACTAAATTTTAAATTTGGAGAATCTACAATATTTATGAATTAGATAGGAACTCATATTTTCATCTTTCTTAACATTAAAAATTTCTAAACTTTAAATTGGTCTCATTTACTAATTATTTTTGCTAAATTGAACTACTATATTTCTAAATCTAAATTTTAGTAACTCCTAAAGAAACTCATATACATATCATACTTATTTAGTTTTTAAAGATTGAAGTGTCACTTGAGGACAAGTGACATTTTAAGTTTGAGGGATTTTGATACACCTAAAA